TTGTACACACTGTTCACTTTTTGTATTAACTGTTTACACGGGTGTCATAAAACAGACTGGTAGTTTTTATAACACAAAACAAGTAAAAGAAAAATAATAATAATTGCAGGTTCGGCACATTTATTTCTCCCAAAGTTACAGGTTCATATCTAGAATTTTCGACAGATGGTGCTGCGAACTGTAAACCAGGGAAAATTATTGAAAATCACATGACAATTTTTCGAAATCTTTTAATGAATGAAAATACTTTAATAATTGTTTCAAAATATCCATCATCAGCTGTGAAATCATATCATTATGTAACACGTTGTTATGTGATTATTAATTATATTTTTCTGATAAACAGGTTTACTATTCGCTATGCCATTTGTTTTTTTTTAAAAAATTGACTAAAGCCATGAAATCTGATAGGAAAACTTTATCTCCTATATCATAAATTTTCTGTTTTATCTTTCTATTCATACTCGTTTATTATCATAAAATATACATAAAAAAATAAAATAAAATAATAACAATTCAAATATAATTGTGATTATAAAATAGATTTGCCAACATATGAACCTCTAAACCTCCAGCAAGTAGCAAGCATACCATTCGAAATAAAGTTTTTACAAAAAAGCATTATAAGGAAATTTGCATAAAATAATAATGTTGCAATTATTATTAAGCTCTCATGATTACGGAGTCCCGCAGTGGACTGATAGTTAAGACACGGTTCCCAGCAGATCACCGAAGTCAAGCATCACTGTCTGCGGTCAGTGCGCGGGTGGGTAACCACTTGGATCAGTCTGCGTAGGGACCGAGGGTGTGCGTATTGGTCCTCGTTAAACTGTTCTATCGTAAAGTGCTCGACTTCACGTACAGGTCGTTGAGCTACCAAAGCGGGGATGGCACCCCCGCTGCGGAGTATCAAAAGTGTCTTCAGATCATCCTCAGGGATGTTTCCCAGACCGTCGCCAATAGCCCATTGTACGCTCTAGTGCGACGTAAATTAACTACTACAACAACAACAACTCATGATTACGGCTGCAGTGACGAAATTTCGACATTTTCAAATTGTAATATCTCCTTTTTTCTACTCAAAATGAGATTCTCGTATTAAAAAAGAGAGAGAGAAATGGACGAATACTTTTACACCGATGAAAAGAGTAGATACTCTGCAGCATTTTACAACCTGCCCGATTTCAATTTGCATCATAAATAATTTCAGCACCACGAATGATATATATATATTTAATTTTATAACCGGCTATGAACAGCCGACTCAACTTTGATTTTAAAAGACTCCCATTCTTTAATATAATATATAAAATATTAATAAACTATCCGCATCAGCCAGATTATCCCATCAAACTGCAGCCTAGTAAAATTATCAAAAGAGAGCAATGATATATATCAGGGGTTTCCAACTTACATGAGGCCAGGGGCCGCAATTAAAACACCAGTCAAATGGCGGGCCGCAACTTTATCAAAATTTTCTATTTGAAGTTTAATATAAAATTTTGAAGGAATGAATTTCATAATTTATTCCTTCAAACATAAAGTCTCTTTCATGTTTGAAGGAACATTAAATATTACTGTCAGATTTTTATCAAGTTGTACAAAACAAAAGTATTGAATTAGCAATAAAAATAAGAAGTAGATTTTTAAGAATATTTAATTGCATACTAAAAAATTCTGGTTACAATAACTTTAATGTGCACTTATGTATTAAGCAATTAATGTGCAACAGATATCAAATTGTTAAGATATAAAACTTGAAAGTTATTGATTTTTTTTACGAAAATTGTCTTTAAAAAAAATGACACCTAATATATTTTGGTTTGAATATTACTACTAATATATTTTAGGCCACGTGTGGCTGGGTGGCGCAGTTGGTTTGTGGTCGGCCTTCTGAGCCCAAGTCTGTGGGCTCGATCCCCGGCCCAGACACCGGATTTTCGGGTTACAGAAAATCCTCAGCGGCCATGTCGTATGATTATGCGGCATGTAAAAGATCCCTGGAGTGCCTTACTGGCTCTTGGCATTTCCAGCAAAATTAAATTCCTAGTGCACTTTAGCATCCAAATAGAATCTCGGTGCTGCCATCTAGTGTGGCAGAAACTAGACGTCCAAATTAACA